ACATAATTTAAGACTAAATTGTCTTTAATGTCAGTTACAGTTTAGACTGTCAGGTCTGGCTTGTCTCTCTGCCAAGTTAATTTCCTAGTAAAGAATGATGTACCCTTCTGTGGTATGTAGCCCGACGTGTGGGAGGCCTCCCAGCAGAAGAATATTATCCTCTGCCGAAACGAGTCGTTTTAGTGGAGTCACATAGGGCCAAGTTGTCAAATTTATAAATATATGGTTATCTGGTTAGGCTTACAGGTTAGATTGCGCGTTTAGGTTCTTTAATAGAAAATATACTTGGCAAGAAGACAACCCTAGATTTGATAGAGATTAGGTTAATATTTACTCTTTTAAACTGTAGTGACAAGATCTGCCATTTTGTTCAACTTTTAAATTATTTTATTCTAAAATTCCACAAGAATCCAATATTCTTATTTTTCTGAGAACCCAGAATAAGAGACAAAATTGACATCGACATTATTAATATTGTGCACGGAATTTCAATGTTCTTATTTTTCTGAGAACCCAGAATAATTATTCAAATCTTCTACTTAAACTTCTTACTTCTAGGTTATCCATTTTCTCTCATTGTCACTGTAACTCATTTGCTGTTTTGTTGTCAGGGTAGGAGCCCCCTCACTAACACTGAAGATGTATGCAGAGTCCACATCGGATTACACCTCTCAGGGCAGTGGTGTTTCTGGTTCCCATTCACACAGCAGACCAAGTTCAAAAATGTCCTGGGACTGGACCCCAGTGAGCTGAAGTCAGCTAAATGTAAGTAAGTCCTCAATGATGGTGTTCTGTCACATCTCACTCCAGCCCCGCCCCTTTGGCGTGCCTCTTTTCTTCCTCCTCCTCACTCTTGTCCTATTGGCAGCTGTTGGACTGGACCTTGTCATCCAAACACATGTACAGGATGACCAACATGAACGGCAGAAGCAGACTCCTCCATCAAGAGCTCCATTTAAGAAGTCAGGATGCAACAGACCTGAGACTGAAGAAGCTGCGTCCTAGTCACGTCATGGCTACAGTCAAGATATTTCAAACCTGGCTGCTACTTACTGGTTGTCTTGAGGTTTGTACTAAATTATATTCCCTGTTGTGACCAGTTTGCTGTCATGTAGAAAACTTACTTGACTCATTTATGTTTAGATATGCCCCCCAAGGACCCTGGCCCACCACAGCTGAGGAGACAGATCCCTGCTTGGCTGTTTTTTATTTTTGTTTGTTTGTTTTTTTTAATAAGGCTTGACCGTTTACAATCAGCATGATGTTTCATAGATATTCTACGATCTGGCCTCTGTTCAGTGATGACTTAAACTACATGCTTGATCCCATGTTGCTTTAGTTTACAGTCAGTCAGTTTAAGAGTTTAATGATCTGGATTCCTTTTACTTCACTCACTACTAACTTAACATTTCCTAACCTAACACTTCCTAACTCCTTCTAACCTATTCTAATCTGATTTTTTCTTGGGGCTTAAATCCAGTCATGAACTCTTACTGAGTGCTGTACTCTAAGCGCAGTTTCCAAAAGCAGACATGGATCCCTCTGCTTTTGTGACCTGTTTATGATCAAGTGTTTGTAGTTTATTAATCAGTGGATTTTTGGTCAGATCAAGGATTAATCATGAGAACTCATGCTGATTCAGTTCACGGTTGCCTTGTTTGTTGTTTTAGTTTGGGGTGGTGGTCCACGGTAGTCCTGTTTTCGGCTCTTATTTTCTTTAGTTTAGGCTTATTGTAAGTTTTTAGGTAGAAGGAATCTCTGGGACGACGGCCAACTGCTTGGCTGGCCTGGTAGCTTCCTTTTTATTTTCTGTTTGGCCGGGACCTCATTCCTTTTTATTTATTTATTTTTAATATTTACTTTGTCTTTTCTTTGAAAAATTTAAATAAACTACATAAAATTTAACATGATTGCATGTTGTCTTTTTTTTTTTCTCCCTCCTCCCCTTGCTCCAATGCTTAAGTCCAAGGAATTCAAAAAAGACAATGTTGTGCTGCAGTCCACAGCCCCGTACTGGCCCCACTGCAAAGATGGCTAAGTTAAGAACTTAATGTAGTAAAATAACTTTTAACTGTTAAAGACATCATTGCTCGGCAGGTAGAAAGACTTTGGGTGTTTATTATTTTGAGGATCAAAACATGGATACATTGGAGCGAAGTTACTGGGCAGACTGGTTCACAGAGCAGAAGAAAACCTGGCAAACTTGGTTGATCTTTGGCAAGACCAACAATGGATCCTACAAACTACAGCCAGATGATGGCAGTAGTGTTGAACACCTGCTTGGATTGGTCAACCTTCCCTCTGTCCCCAGGCAGGATGGTATTCGGAGGGAAGTTGGATAATGGAGCATGTGTATTGATGTCCCTGTGCCAGTCACACTCCTAACGTACTGGTAAACCTCTTAACCTTCCTAATCTTAGCAGCCATCTGCTGCGGCAGTCGTCCAGCCTACGCAGCCTGAGCTGTGTTTAAATGTTACAACTTTATTTTTAACCTTCCCTCTGTCCCCAGGCAGGATGGTATTCGGAGGGAAGTTGGATAATGGAGCATGTGTATTGATGTCCCTGTGCCAGTCACACTCCTAACGTACTGGTAAACCTCTTAACCTTCCTAATCTTAGCAGCCATCTGCTGCGGCAGTCGTCCAGCCTACGCAGCCTGAGCTGTGTTTAAATGTTACAACTTTATTTTTTAGGCCATGCTGCTGTCTTCTCAAGCAGAAAGGAACTGGGAGGGTTTGTGTTCAGTGCTCGAAGATGTCTTGGAGGACCAGTCCCACAGGCAGCTGTTGGCCTTAGAGCTGGGGTCAGGGACGGGGCAGCACGTCATGCGATTTGCCCAGAAGATGCCATTTGTTACCTGGCAGCCGTCGGATATTAAAGACGAGGCTTTGAACAGGTTTGTGTCTGGACCAAGCTCCACCAATAATATCTGACACATTCAGTAATGTGGTGATTAAAATTATTGCTAATGCATGTGATTCAAAATTATGCCAAATTCTTTGGTCTGTGTGGGTGCTGCTAATTTTTAAACCACATTCAACATGACTTTGTTACAGTATCAAAGCATGTATCACTGCAACCCATGCAAAGACAATACTGCAGCCAGTACACCTGGATGCCAGTGAGCCATTGGAGAAATGGACAGGAGTGACCAGTGACTCTTGTGATGTCATTGTTGCCATCAACTTACTGCAGTATAGCTCCTTTAAAACCGCTCAGGTAGGTCTGATCATTATAGCAAGTCAGCTGATGGAATAGTTGGTCCAAAACCTGGCCCGGGGGCTAATCCAAGCACTTTGCATTGACATTGTCCAATATTTCTTTCTGGAAGTTATACTTAATATCCTACAATTAAGGCAATTTGACAAAGAAGTCTTTTAACCTAATGCCACACTAAAAAGGAAGGGCTTTTTTTATATTAAAAATTTCAATTTTGTTTTTCCTGTCAATATTTTGGCTAACATATTTGGACTAATTTGTTATGACATCAAACCTTTGTTTTGATCAACTGTTCACCTACTACTTTTTGACTTTAATTTAACCACCTTTATATCAGTGATAAAGTCAACCTTTGGCTATTTTCTTGCTTTATTTCCTTCTTCTTTGGGCTCATACATATCTACTGTAGTTATTGTTTCTCATTTAGCTTTTACCACCAGTCCTTCAAGTAGCAAATGTTACTAAATATTTAACTTGTACCCTATTGTTACAATTGTGTTTGGTTATTTTTCTTAGGGTGCTTTCAAAGGAGCAGGCCAGGTTCTCAAACAGAATGGCCTTCTGATAACATATGGGGTTTGTGTTGTAGTTTTGAGTTTAATATGAATTGTTTTTAAAAAAAATAAATTAATAAAAATCCTTTTTGACTTAACATTTATGTTTCAGATGTATGCAATTAATGGCACCATTACACCCAGCTGTAATGAAAACCTTGATGCAGAACTTCGAAGAAAGTGAGTGTGTAATCAGTTTTCCTTCAATACAAAGAAGTTTGATTGTCTTTTCTCCTTCAATATTACACCCAGTTCTTGGGTTTTATTTTGTCTTTCAGAAATCCAGAGTGGGGTCTTCCGGACATTGACGTTCTGAGACAACTGGCTTATGAAAATGGGATGCGTCTGGAAAGAATGGTAAGGAATGAACAGTTTTTTGTTTTTTTAAGCAAGTGATGGAACAATTTCACAACTCTGTTTTTATTCCAGGTTGAGATGGAAGAGTATTACAAATGCCTCATCTTCAGAAAATTATAAGTTCACACTATGGAGAATTTCACTTTTTTGTGTATTATTGTTTAAATGTTTGATTTAAAAATAAATGCCCACAAAAAACGAACAAACTGAGGATGTATTTATACAGTGTAGAATTATGTTAGTTTTCATTGTATTCAAATATAACAAGCTTTTCTGTGTTGTCTTAATATTCATTATATACAAAACAATCAACATTAAAGATACAGACACACGTGGACAGTGAGAACCAGATATTTATTAAATATAATTTTAAAATTACTGTCAGACAGATCAGACTGATGGAATTAAGAAGTTCACAGATGGTAGCTGACCGGTTACAGAAAATCACTGGTTTGCTGTGTGATACATACATGCAACAGATTCTGTTCCTCTTGCAGTCATTTCCACATAATTGAAAAGCCAAGAACTGGTGAAAAAAAAAAGTCAGTCTGAACTGCACTGACTATAGAACCTCAGCTGAGACGAGGTACAAACACAGGACAGTTCATCTCGTGTCTCACGTTTTGATGGCAGTTAACGTTAGGTAACAGAATGGTGCAGGAACCTTGCCACAGTGATTTAGGTTGTAATATTTCATTATTTTATTTAGTTTGGTTAAATGATTTTCCATAAAGATTAAAACATTGTCCACGGAAGTTTCTGCTCACCCAACAGTCTGTAAAAGGAAAACAAAATGCTGGGTGCAGTAAACATTAAATAAACACCAGAAGACGAGATGATTTTTGTCTGTGTGGAGCTGATAATTACAGCAACTTGACTGAAAGTTAGTGCCTGGTGTCCCAGGGCTCTGACTGTGCTTTCTCTGCAACAACTTCACCCTTATTTACACATTTACCTTTGATAATGGCACGTAACGGTCTTTGAATCACTTCTTAACCTACAACGTTCAACAACTTCTTTTCCACCACGGAACTAAAGATTAACATGCAAACATTTTCTAGAAAAATATGAGACAAAGGATGTTTACGTCTTTATTTTTCCTTAATTAATAACAGATTTTCATAATTTGTTTTTAATATCACTGACTATTTATTCCTGTGGTTCAGTTACTCATTTATTAAGGGAGTACTACATACACGTCAGGTAGAGAGGGGGAGAGGGAGGGTGTGGGTTATGGTGCTCTTTCCTGCAGCTTCCCCACACGAGTGGGCAAAAAGAACAAAAAAGAGCAAAAGTTCTGCATCATCATCACAAGATTTCACATTGCCACAACATCACAGCTGGGATGGAATGAGGGAGATGTTGGTGTGTGTGTGTTTCCAGCGGGGGAGCATCAGAGTCCAGAGAAGCAGAGGAGACTGAGGAGGGTGTAGTGTGTCACTGCAGCGTGTGGGTTTTCAATCAAAGGAAATGAGCTGCGCCTCTGTGCTTCCCTGCACAGCCTGAGGCGTCTGCTGCTGCACAGGCTGCTGCTGTTGCTGCTGCGGACCACCAGGGGGAGCCACCTGGCAAGAAAAGGCAAGTTTAATAAACAGAAATAAACTAGATGCAGTTTAAACTTGAGAGAATTCTTGAAAACACCAACCTGCTGGTACATGGGCTGCTGGCCCTGCATGTACTGCTGTTGTGGCGGCATATTGGGGTCCTGACCTGGTAACGCTGAAATCATGTTCTGCATGCTGTACGGCTGGTAGCCCATATAAGCCATACCATTGGTTGGAGCAGCCTGTGACATGGGAGGCAGACTCTGGGCCTGTGACACAACATTCTGCAGAGATGTCAATGGTTTCAATCTTTATAAGTCAAACAAACAACATTTAAAGTAAATATTCTACTCAGTCTGACCTGGTAGCCTTGTGTGGGTGTGGGTTGATAGGTGGAGTAGGGGGGACTTGTAGTCGGTGGAGCCTGACCAGGTGGAGGGGCAGGCTGCCCGTTTACACCCGCAGGTGGGTACATGTAGGCACTGACCATGTTTGGATCTGAGAGATGATAATCACAAGAACACATTTGAATAAAGGAAATAAAAACTTAAGATAAGTGTGAATCTTAACAATTTGAGCATTTTTTTTTCTAAAGAACTGTCAAGAATAAGTTCCTTCTCCACATTTATCATTGCTCACCTGTGGCTGTTCCTGGCATGGCCTGGTACTGTGCTGGTGCAGCCTGTCCAGGTTGGTTCATGTAGATATTATGCATAGGCGAGCCTTCCACTGAACCAGCAGGGCTAAAGGTTCCTGGGTAACTGGGCGGTGCACCAGGCTGATACACCACTCCTCCTGCCACATTCGGGGGAAGGGACTGCATCTATGGAAGAGCAGGGGCAGGTATTTTAAGATGATGATGAAGAGCTTAAATCTGTGATCGTAGATCAGTGGACAGTTTGTACCTGGGCATAGGGCAGAGAGAAAGCAGGCATCTGGGCCCTCATCTGGATGGTGTGTTTCTGCTGCTCCAGACGCATCTGCCTCTCCTTCTCCTGCTCCTGGAGGCGCTGAATGGCCAACTGTCTTTGCATCTCCAGGTACTCCTGTGATTCAGTTACAAAAAAATTTCAGGAAGGTTCGTGATAATGTATTATTTGGACACTTGATTCCTGCAGATGATCATTTTTCACCTGTTTTTTCTGCCTCATGATCTCCAACTTCTGTGCCAGCTGGATCTGCCTCTGCCTCTCTGCCTCCTCCGCTGCTCGGCGCAGCTTCTCTCTGTGCTCATCACGAAGAGCGTTGAGAGCTGCTCGTGCATCACGGACCTGGGCCAGCTTGTCCTGCAGCCCCTCATAGTACACTGTCGACGGCACAGTTCAGCGGTCAGGGAAAGAATGAGAATGGAAGACTCACACCCAGTCCAGAAAAGCTAGTGTGGCACTCACATCTTTTCTCGTCCAGCTGGTTGAGGATGTCCAGCAGCTGTGGGTGCATGTTGTTGATGGACTGGAAGAGCGAGAGCACGGCGCTGTCATTGGTGATACTGCGTCCACGCATATGGTTGCTTTTCATGCGGTTCAGGAAGGTGGTCACCGAGTTCTGCAGCGCTTTCAGAAACTGCTCGTGGTTCTCCTCGGACTCACCGTTCTGATACTGTTGCTAAAGGCAGAGACAAGAAGCAGGGCATCATTTTTTGTTTTTCTATCATACTATAATATTTTTTTCCATCTATCAATTTCAACATACCTCCACTATGCTGACTGGTTGTCCAGGCATGTGAGTCTCTACAGGCTGACTGATGGAGGGGAGAGGTTCAGACAGTGGCACCGGCGCAGGGGCTGAAGGAGTCGGACTTTTACGAGCTTCTTCCTGTTTTTTCTCCCAGTATGTTCTGTTCAGGTAACGAGCCAACTGCAATTGTGTTGACACAGACATTATCAGTTACCATTCATATTCTCAATTTATTGAGGAACATAAGGTTGAAATCTTGATTAAAACAAATCAAACGGAGAAATCAGTTGGTAAGAAAACGGGGCAAGAAAGACATGACATTTTGTAAGTGTTGTTTTTATATATTCATAATTCTATAAATGAAGATATGTTTAAAAAACAAAGCAAGTCAAAAGACCAAAATTTTATTTTAATACAGGTTTAAACAAAAATGTCATCCATACCTCAGGGTCCACATCTTCAGCTGAAGGAGCAGAAGAGTTCTGGAGTACAAAAATGAGAAAATATTTAAATTTGAAATGAAATCACCCAACTCTCAGGGTTTGAAATATTTAATTCAGACGAGTTTTACCACAGGGGATGTGTAGAGTGTGCTGACTGGTGGTGCTGAGGAGGTCACTGGGGTGGGATCCGTTTTAGGATACACAGGGTAAGAGTTCTTGTGTCTCTGTGAAAACAAACGTAAACATTTGTCATTTTTGTCAACACTATAAAAGAGTAAAAACTTCTCAGGTGTGTGACCCACCATCCTCTCCTTTTCCTCCGCCTCACTCTGGGACAGGGCGATGGCCAACTGCAGCTCCTCCTCCTCCTGCAGCGCAGCTTCATCTCTCTTAGGAGGCATCTAGTGAAAAAGCAGCATAGTGACAAGAACACATGATTAAGAGTCTAGAAACTGTTGACAGGTGAAGCTAAGAGGAGGACACTTGTCCATGAAGAGTGTTGATTACAGACAGAAAGACAGTCACCTGTGACTGTTGAGACAATGGGCTGGTGAGATACTCAGGAGGAAGTTCAGAAGAAGTTGTAGTTGGAGCTTTTCCTTCAGCCTTCCTAAGAGGAGGAGAGAGGGAGGGGTGGCTGGTGAGGAAAGGGGACAAGGGAGGACAAATGACCTGGTAAATAAAAGGAGAACATTCTACCCCAGAGAGGTAGAAACTCTCCACAAATCTGGGACAAAACAATGAATCAACTATTGACAATGATTAGAAGTCAGTGACATTTTATTAAAACTACAGAGTTCACACATATGAGCTAAAATGAATAGTGTTAATATTGTCAGCCTTTTGGCTAAACATTACCAAGAGTCTTTAACCGTTCAAGCACTTCCTTCTCTTCTGGAGACAAATGAAGTGACATTACCACAAATGACTGTTATCACAGGACTCACTTGTTTAGCAGCTCAAAGCAAGGCTCACACACACGCACTTCCTTCTCAATGCCGAACTTTGGAATGGTGGAGTATTTCGACGAACACTTCCCACAGAAAATCTGGCCACAGGCACGACAGTGGTGCTAGGAAGGCACACAACATAAACAGAGGTCAACTTTTCTGAACTAACCACACAGCGGAATAAAACAGACATATGAATCTTGCCCGTGTCCCAGTTACAAGGAGGACTGGCCTACCTTTCTTGTCATAACTCCAAACTGGACTCTGCACCGGTGACATTCCTCTGCATCAACCCAGTCTGGGGCCTACACCACAAACAGCAAATATTACTGATAAATGAAAAGCAACGAAGGATACAGGGACCAAGTATAGGTGAAGTACAACATTTACTTTTACTTGGTGTAAAATGATATATTTCTCACAGAGAACACTCACTCTTTCTGCTGCAAACATTGCATCACTTTCCTTAAACTCTGGAAAAACATGACCTGTATGAAAAACAAACAAACATTTTAACATTTAAACTTTAAATCTAGCAGTTTTGTAGAAAGTTTCTGATGTAATTTCTTACAAATACAACAATACTATATTATTTTTGGTGTTGCTATGACAGGACAGGAAACCATTCAGCTGATTGATTATATTGAATGTTTACACTCTAATCTGTTTGACTGACAACAAGAAAAAAAAAAAACATCAGCAATTACACGTTACCTTCAACTTTCATAATCTGGTAAGTATCCTGAACCACTTTGTACTTGGGTTCGTTGCGGAAAGCATGGGCCCAGGCCTGGATCAAGTACAGAATCTTGTTTCTGACATTTGGTTCCGTCTGTTTCTATCGGTAAAAACAACCAAATAATCCCAATAAATCTTTTGTTTTTGATCAGTTTTGACAGAATGACCAAGCACACTGATTTCAAATACACAGTAGCTGATGACAAACAGTCCGATGATAAGTTTTTTTTTTTCCTCGTCACATGCCAGTGACATCACCAAGAATCTAAATCATAATAGGGAACAGGAGCTTATGTCACATGGTACATCCAGAAACCAATCAAATAAAACTGTTTTTGCTGTCATCCCAGCTGCCTGACAGCAGGTTAAGGTTAAGAGAGAATGTTTTCAGATGATAAGGAGCTCAGAATACAAATTAAAGAATCTGATTCTGACAGCTTAGAAGCACATACAACATTTTACAGCTTTGAAAAGTTAATAAAATGTGTTTACTTGTCAATCAATTCATCAATCATTGCAATCAAATGATTCATTTATTGCGGCAAGAAATTAATGTGACTCAGATGACATAAATAACCTTGAACAGATCCTTCAGTTCCTCCATGGTTTGTTTACTTGCCACCTCATCATGGACCGTCTGGCCACAGTTCTTCACTACTGACTCAAGGACCTGGTTGAAAGACCAAAAATTAGAGCACCAAACACAATAGGTATTATACAGTATGTAATTGTGGCAAACCTCCACAAAATATGGACTCTACAGTGGGGTTCCATTTTATTTATTTTAGTTTAGTGTCTTACCTCCAGTCCATACAGGGCCACATGGGGATTTTTGTCATTCAGCTTTTTCTTAATGGCTCCAATAGCATATTTAGCTCTGTGATGACACAAAAATGTTGTTTTTTTTTCTCTCAATAACATGTATCCATTAGACGCATACACAATATGTTATTGTGTTTGACATAAAAATATATATATATATATATATATATAATCACTCACTGTGTGTCGCCTTGTCGAATGAGATCACAGATCTGCAGAATGGATTCCCAGTCAGTCTCCAGCAGCAGCTGACTGGTAGCTTTATCTAGAATGAGAGCAGACAGGCGACAACATTAATGAAGGAGTTCATGCTTCATTAATTTAAATGTTAGTGCAAGGTCGTGCAATAGTTTAAGTTTTACACCTACTTTATCAACATGTTATGGACTTGAAGCACACACGAATACTTAAACGAGACTGAAAATATTGTTTCGAAGTACATATGCATTCATGTTTGTACAGTTGCAGTCAACGACCGAGTGATTTCACGAGGTATACAATAATATTACATAGACTTTGTAAACAATTAACAAATGTTTCGATGTTAAGAGGTCCAGCGGATATGAAGTCATCTGAAGTGAATTGACAAAACCGTGTCGTCCATGGCCAATGTAACAAAAGAACACCGAAATAAAATGGTTCTCCCGGGTTTAAAGAACACAAATAACGATATAGGTCGCCTAAAAGCGCAACCCCTTCATCGCGGAGCTTTAACTTCACAGCAATATAAACAATAATACTGAAATAGTTAGCAGGCTAAAATTAGCCTGGCCCGAGAGCCACAGCCCGTGCTTCGGTCAAAACAATAGCCTTTAAGACATCGCAATTTCACTGATAGATGGATAATAAGCATTTGACATGGATGACTGTGGGGGCAACTTACCGAGAAGTCGCTCAAATGTTCCACCGCCTTTTCCCATTTTTTCCTCAATGTGTCAAACTCGCTGTCGAAGAGTCTTGTTTGCTTTCCGCCGCTGAGGTTAGCCTGTTAGCTTCTCTGTTCGCCACAGAGCACAGCTGAGCAACACTTCCGGCTTTCTACTTCCCGTTTCCGCCACAAGAATAAAAAAACGCGTAGGAATGTTTCTTTCTCATGGGTGTAAATAGTGGTTGTCAAACCTGCTAATGCTTGCATCATTGCCACCTGTCGGTTCTACGAGTATTTAATAAAAAAAATTAAACATGACCACAAATGGTAACAATGCAAAAAAAAAAAAAAAACTGTCATAGAATTCTATAAACAATAATAATGATATTATTATTAACGTGAAAAGCTTTGTTTCCTCAGCAGATTCATGCAAGCTTTGATGTTCAAAGTCTCAACCTTAACAAGTTTTATATTGGAGTGAATAATCGTGTCTCTCCAAACATTTTACTTACTGTTGTGAGTCTAATTTGTGTGTAAGATTTGTTTTAACTGTGGTTTGGGTTTTTGTTTTCTGTTTTTTTTTTTTGTTTTGTTTTTTACAAATAAAATTCAGTTTGACAACTTGCTGCCCTTTACATGACAAATAGAATGGCGCATATCCCTGCAACAATTTACAACCTTCATATCTTCCTTGTGTGTTTGAATAGTAACCATCCAAACCAGAGAATGCTGCTACGATGAATGTGTTAGCGTAGCATCCTATCTTTCTGTATACGACAGGAGGAACTGGTTCTTTTACTTCCTTTGACAGCAGTACTGAGTGAGCAATACAATTATACATACAATACATTTGTATTTTCTATAATGAGTATAAAAACTTTTTGACTACAAAACTACTTGTGATGGTCTTGATTATGTAATAAAACAGTGTCATTGTCCAACTTGCCTGTTCAACTGCACTTATTGTTCTGCAGTATTTGCAGCATTATTTAACCAACGCTAGTATAGGCCTGCTTAGGTCATGAATGACTCACTACCTGGCACTTGGAACACTGATGCTCTTTGTGAATATTCCGTCGCTTCTTATAAAGTGGCATTGTGCACTCTGGTGGTATAGACGGTTATGGAAAACACAACTGCGTGCTGTTGTGTGTTTTGCAAGAGAAAATGTTATTTTAAGAATTCTTTGTGGGTGATAAATTCAGAGTACCAAATTACATGACTGAACATGTAGGACTTTAATGATGTTTCACTTGGTCTCAGACAGGCCTCACATCACAGTTTAGAACACGGGGACAGAACAGCGGCTGATCCATCTGCGCACATGCAGTGTAGTTACACGTGTTATATAATATATTAGATGCTACTCATTAGCATCGTCATTATCATGAAGCTTTTCTCATCAAAACAAAGTCATTCTTTTTGACTGACAGACAGGGATTTTAATTACCAGGATTTTAATGCTACAAATACACTGTATATTAGGTCCAAGTTACAGACAGGGTTAACGAGGGACACATACAGAGAAGAGAGAGAGCGAGAATGAGGCAAATGTACACACACCCCTATTGTTCTATTGTTCTTCTTAGCAGAACACATATTAGCATTTACATAAACGAGGGGAAAAAAACAATGATTTGCCTTTATATAGTCGACATGCTGCTCCTCACTGACACATATGGGTTTGAGTGGCTTTTCTACCAGTGTGACTGTAAAAATGTGGACACAGAGACATTCCTTCGTGACGAGTTTTCAACAATGGGATCTTTTTTATTGTAATTTACACTGACAAACAGAGAAAGATGTTATTTGAGGAAATCAGGCATGAAATAATAGAATAACTGAATCTCTCTAGGCAGTCTTCAGTGGATATTCAAAGAAAACAAAAACAAAACCAAATACAGTAACATCACATATAAAAACATTACAATGAGAACCAATCGTGAGGACAAAACAGGTTTGTCATTGTTTGGGGGTGAATTTTTGGGTGAGATTTGAGGGCAATCAGACCTTTTCGGGGCTTAGACATAACCCTTGACTTGTGAGGCAGGAGCCCTGCGAGGACTACTCTCTCCACTGCTGAAAGTGGGTGAACCTGGGATGCCAGGGGGACTGGACCCAGCGTAGAGCAGAGATCCCCCAACCAGGAGCAAGGCTGAAGCACCCCAGCCAATATAAAGAGCAGGGCCAAGCTCACGCTTGTGTGGAGCTGCCACATGTGGATCATAGAAATCCCTGATGATGGAGTGAGCGGTCCAGCAGACAGGCACAAGGTAGAGGAACCCCGCGATGGCGAATAGGACTCCAGAGATGCGAGCAATTCGGGCCTTGAGGCTGTTGACACCGACGCACTTCGTGCACTTGACGCCCAGGACCCCCAGCGCCAGGGCCAGACCACAGAGCAGCACGGAGAAGACAGTGAGGCCGCGGGCAGCCTGCATGTCACTGGGCAGGGCCAACAAGCTGTCGTACACCTTACACTGGATCTGACCTGTACTCTGCACGATGCAATTCATCCACAGGCCTTCCCAAATGATCTGAGCCGTCACTATGTTGTTACCGATGAAGGCAGTGACCCTCCACAGGGGGAGGGCGATGACTACCGCCCCAGCAACCCAGCCTATGAGGGACATAATCAGTCCCAGCAACTGCATGCCCGTGGTTGCCATGTCTGAATTAGATGGGTTTGTCTTCAAGATCGGAATCTGTCTGTTGCAGATGGCTCACGTTTAGTCCTTCTGGTTGATTTTAAAGTCTACAGTACTGCAAAACGTCCACAACTAAATCATCCGTCTGGGGTGGGAGCTCTGCTTGTTTTAGGTCAGATGTCCTGGAATACAGAGGAGAATTTCAACTCAGTTAAGACGGCACACAAAAGCTGGGAAGCATACACTGATAGAGAATTGAAGCGTCTTTAAACAATTCTAAGCATTGCATTAGCTAAATGTGAGATGCCTAATGGGGCATATATTTATCATAAATATTTGTAGAAAGACTGTGAGGCCCATGTTTAGTGGATTCCAACAAGCACCACAGAGAATAGGCTTCTTTGACACAGTTGTGGGTGTTGAGCTACGCCTTGTAGGGTGAGTGGATTATCTCAGAAAAACATGAGGAGACTTTGAACACAAGCAGCTTTCATCAACGCTCATAGAGTGGGCAAAGATGACCTGTATCATCTTTTTATCACGACGCACAGTCTCTGCACTGGACCAGTTCTGTGAATTAATACCTCCGTGTCCAAGATTGTCCCAAATTAAGTGCTTCTTCGAGTAGTGAAATAAACACAATACACAATAACCTCACAGGGTCTATAAATAGGATGAGTAATATATATATATAATACTTTTATTTTAAAAGTCTGTGCCTGATCATTTTCCAAATATTTCAGAAATACACTGCAACAACAAAAGAGGAAGTGAAAATAATATTAATTAGACACTCCACTGACAACACACTTGTATTACACAAATGTAAGAGCTCAAAATAAATAAAAACATTGTTTGTTGTTGTTGTTTTGTTTTTGTTTTTTACCTGAAATGAATTAAAGGTCTTGCTCCTCCGGACTGAAGGCTGATCCCACTGGTCCTTAACTGATGTAGGTCAGTGGTGAGTGAGTGATGGCCCTGAGATTTAGGTGTATTCCAGAGGAAGTCTGGAGAGCAAGAGCGTTTCAGTCTTGGAGGTAAGTTGCACTGCAGTAAACAGGGTTCGATCCACTTCAACACCCAGGACTGGACTGGAGATGGGGCTGCCCTCCCAGATGCCAACGCAATTCTGTGTGGCAGTGGGCAGAAGCATGCGCTTGTGTGCACGGCCGTGTTATTGTGTGAATGCGTGAACGTGTTTGAGTGTGACTCCCAGTGCCTGGTGTACGAGCACAATGCCCCGCTGTTCGGCTGTGCCCTCCCTCCCTTCTCTGCAACCTCTGTCCCAACCCTGCACCCCCTTACATCCATCCAACTCTGCAACCCATTTTCGACTCTTTTTTTCTGCGTGGCCTTTCTCGTTCATTTATGAGAGCCTTCTATTTTATTCTTTCCTCCTTTCAATCTGTTGATGGCTTTTATTGAAGTTTACGAGTTCAGCGTTTCAGGTCTTAGAAGAGCCCTTGTTCACAGTTTAGACTTAAAAAATGTGGTTCGTTGTGGGATCAAATAATTTAATAAATATATTTTATACACAATGGTGCACAGCTGTACTGTAGACAGAACATTATAATTTAAATGCTACAGAAACTTGAAGAGATGATCAAGGGAGAGGCGTTTTTGCCACAATGCAGGCGACCAGGACTGAAGAATGGATGAAGTTTGTCTGTGGAGGTGTCAGTGAAGGTGTAAATGTGGACTCCCGATTCCGTACAGTAGAAGGACACACGGCCCTCTGTGCAGTCCAAATATATGCCCACCTTCTTAGGCTTCTGTTCGAGGGCCACCAGAGTGACAGGTGAGGTGTTGGCGAAATACTGGCCTCCAGTCTTTAGGCTTAAAATCCAGAACCCATTGGCTGGACAGACGGTGAACTTGCCTTTCCTGTTTATGGACTGTTTCACGACTCCAAGGTTCCACTCAGTCTTCTCTCCGACCTCCACCTCCCAGTAGCTCCGCCCACTTTGAAAACTTTCTTTGGCCAGCACGTTTGCCACCCGGTCAAACCGCTTGGGGTGATCTGGAACCTCCTGAAGCTTGTCTGTGTGTCTCACCTGTTTCCTGTCATCTGAGACTGAGAGGAAGGGGTGAGCTGTCTTAGCACTCAGATTGACGTCCACTGGGAAGGAAGAGTGGGAAACAGTTAAAACAACACCAAACTAAACAGTGTTTTGTGAGTGTTACAGCCCAAAAAGTATAAATTCCATTTTGTGTTAACTGATAATCCTCGTGTGCCTGTACGAGCTGCGTGCCCAATTTGATTTGAACGCAAGGTTTATCATGAAGATTGTGATGGCAAGTCATGTCAAATACTCACCTGTGTATTTCTCTATTCTCTTCAGTTCTATAGAGAAAGAAGAAAAATACGTAAACAAGATTTGACACCAATAATATCATTTTTTACTGCGTATGGATTACTCACCAGATTTGGATAACCTATTAACTTCTACTTTGATCTTATCCAACATGTCCGACAGTGCCCGCCTAGTGACCCCAATACAAGGGTCAGTTTCCACAGTGACCTTAGACCAGTCCTTCATGTCAGAGATGGAAACAGTTGAAATGGTGCTCTGCAGAACATGAAGAAAAGATTTGTTTGGCTCACTCTGGCTGCTGCTGTATTGATCCATGATGAGTTACCTACCTGGGTGACCTGCTTCGTATCACTCTGATCAGTGTCAGGAACCTGATCGACAATGTCCTCAGCCTCTTTCCTCAGGTCCCGAATCTCCTGTTCCAGCTCTTTAACCAGAGTTTCTACTCTCGTCTCCTCTTCTCTCTGTCGCTCCTCAATCGCAGCGACAACAGCTTTGTGACTCTTCTCCATGGCGTTCACCAGTGCAGAGAACACCTTCTGGCTCTCTCGCACCTCTCTGAGGTAAGAGCTCTGTTTGAACAACACCATCGCAGTTATCAATGCAGAACTTTACATTTTTAAAAGAGACCAAATTGAAGGATGACGGTTTACCTTCTGAAGCTCCAGAGAATATTTTAACCTTTCTATCTTCTGCAGCCTTTCTTGAATCATTTGGTCGACATCTACGACCTAAAATGTGCAACATTAAAACCGCCATACACACAATGTACTGCATTTGACAATGAAAAACTTCAGACACTACATGACCAAAGTACCTTTTCTTCATCAGGTGATTTCTGTGGTCGTGCATTCCTGTATTTTTCTGAGATGTCTGACAGAATGCGGTTCACACTGAGGTCAGGTTTGTCCGTAAAGACTCTCCTACAGTGGGGACAATACTTGGACTGGTGTCTGGACCAGTAGTGGCAGAGACAGGACAGACAGAAGCTGTGTCCACATGGTATGGTCACTGGATTGGTGAAGACGTCTCGACACAGTGAGCACAAAAAGTGCTTCTCGGGGAGGAGGCTGATGGTCGAAGCCATTTCCTGGAGAAAATCATTTTAGTTTTTTTGATAAAGTGTAATAGGAAGATTTTTGTTTTGTTTTTAGGGACAACAATGGTACAGAACAACACACTCTTCTTTTGATTCAGATCTTCAATACCTGACAGTTGCTGCATTCAAAAGTCACGTCATGAGAGTGGATCATTTGTTCATGTCCTTATTTATTACAACAATGAAGCAATGTTTTTCCTCATCTCTTCTCTTCTTTGCGTATGTCCAAACCATCACAATTTGCATATTTTACTTGATCTTTATCTCGGCAACTCCCATAACCCTGTTCATCAGGACACCTCCAACTCAGCCTCCTGTCATTCAGACAACACTACGGTCGACCACCTGAACATTATGAACAAGAACTCAGCAGCAGTAGCAGCAGCATCACTCCATCCTTTGGACATTTCAGATCATTTTTTTGGATCATTTCCCAGCACATGTTTGATCAGTGTTGATTCTAGTCCTACTTCCCCAGCTGCTCCTTACGCTCACCACCTACTACACTGTCATCTCTGAACATCTGGGACTATGGATGGACCACCAGCCTCACATACAACTCCGTTCTGTTCCCGTGCCACAGTTTCTATTTCAGCACCTGAACGAACAGTTTTCTCCGGATTCACAAAGACGACGAAGCTCGTTCTGAAATTCTCTGACTTTCTATCAAAGAACAGTTGAATGTCCATGCCATTTAGTAGCATTAACCTCTTGACTTAGCTTTAATATCTACTTATTGATACCACTATAATCACCATACCTCTAAACTTTACCCTTCTTCCTAATGAGGTAGAACTGAATTTCATAGTAATACTCAAGATTAAATACATTTTAAAATACTGTGAACTATACAGTATTTTGTTAAAAGCATACTTTATGTACTAAACAAAGTACAAACTCCCAATATGTTTCACCATCAACTCGCAGCACTTAGCCTTCACAAAAGAATGTACGTCACGTTCTTGAAGACAACATTCCACTCATATCATAAAATGATAAACAAAGAAGAGGATGAGGATTTTATTCCCACTGAACAAACGTTAAAGCTGGGTGTGAGTGAGCCCACAGTAACATCCGGCTCTTTAATGGTTTCTACAATAAAGTATTTTCACTGTCAGTGCTCTGTTTAAGGTTCTTTAAGAGCAGAAACTGCTTTGTTAAGGAATGACAAACATGTCGTTCGACAGGTCAGCTGTCAGCATGTTTCTTACATCATTGGGTTACTACTAAAAAACACACTGTAATTACTGAATGCTTCAAGCTGCCTGTCATTAAATCCGAGAACCAGGAGTATTTGATTGTCGTCCATTCCAGTGAACACATCCTGCTATGGTTCAAAGGTCGACTTCTCACAGTGAAAAATGTAATATATACCAAGAGAAAAGTATGGGGTCTTACTGTACCTGATCCAGCTGATCGTATCCAGACAGCACCACGGTCTGCACTGATTCTGTACAGCTTCAAGGTAAAGTAAAGACAGCACTGGGCGACAGGTGCGCTCAGGTGTGTGTGAGTGTGTGTGTGTGTGTGTGTGTTGTCTGGCTCAGGCTGAAACAATGGCACTCCCTACTGAAACTCCACCCTTAATGTTATCTGAGCTACATTTTAACTAACCCATAGTGAGGCTTCAGGAAATGTTGGGGGTTGAAGGAATGTTATACTTTTACAGAGTGTTTCTTAGAAAAACAATAAAGCAGCCGTTTCATTTATGTGTAACTGTTATTGCACATGTAATTATGCTTTATTCTTTTACAGATAACATTTTTTACACCTATGAAATGATAGCGTATATAAAGGTAAACACAAACTATAAAGTTGTGTAAGTTTCCATTTTCTTATCCAGTTGGTGATGAGTCCACTTACAAGAGAAGAGACTAAAGGTTTCTGGCTCAGCTTCAATGTCAGCACAGAAGAATAAATCGTTTTAAAACAGTGGTAAAAAAAATCTTTGTGACTCTTACTTTCAGCCTACATATGCCACGGCATAATTACATTAATTATTTTCACCTGTAGGTGTCATTACACTTGACCACAATCCTACAAAACCCCTGATGTTTTACAATTGCACTTACATAAATAAATGCTGTAATGAGAGAAAGGTGTAAGGAGAAGCAGAATAATGATAGTTAATACAGATAAACAGATTATGTTTTAACGTAATAATTACGTTAAAACATCAGTCAAATTAGATAAAATACAAATAACCAAAGAGAAAACAAAAAACTGCTAAAAATGTTTTGCAAAAAGATCTGAAAGGTATTGCAGTAGGTGATTTTTTTGTGTGTAGTTTTGTTTTTTAATATTTTCCCTATTGTTTCCCACAGATGTAAATGTGTCATTGATCAACAAAGTACATTTATACACGGTAGTACTAATCACAGCGTCTGTACGCACAGTATGTTATATGATATTTTAAAATAAAATAAAACATTGATTGATGATTCTCACACTGGTGAAACTGCGTCACTCTGTGGCCAAATCCTGTACTGCGGGAAGAGGAAACCACGTTTAAGCACTTCCTGTTTATGTCAACTGTTGTTTTGAATAGAAGTGTAAGCCACAAGGAGCCGTGGTAAGTTATTTAGAAGAAGAAAATGTCTTGTTGTTACTTTAAATTGCATTTACGCCAAATACATAATGACAACGTCTGAGCTGTTCCGGTCGCCGTGAAAGAAGCCGGCGTGTCCAGCCCTGACTATGAAGACACCTGGCGACACGTGAAGGACAAACAGACTGCACGAGTGTTTACATTCAGACAGATGAAGAACTTTGTCAACACGTCCGTCAAACGCTGGTTCCCAGCCGTTAGACCCTTCCTGTGTTCCGGTCAGCGCTTCTCCACTGTAGGAGAAACAAACAGAGATGGAAGTGAAGGAGGAGCAGGCTCTAAACGTCTCACAGAGGAGGCTTCACTCTATGTCCACGTGAGCTGACATTTGGTCGTTTAAACCCATGCACAGATACACATGTAGATGTAAATATGTAACTAACATTTGAATAAGACAGGGTGTCATGTCATAATCGAAGACGGCACATTATATGCACGTTGTCAAACATGACAGTTTTTATAAATATCTGCACTTTACAAACACGTCAATTTCGTTGAGACGTTCTAACATATTTATTTATTTGTTTACTTGTAGATTTGTATTGTCGAACATTTGAACTTATAATGTATAACTTTACCTAATGTGTAAATATTGACTTTGGACACATTGTAATAATAGATGTTACTAATAGTTTTTTGTTTCATAAATTCTTTGGCTGTTGGTTTTTAGTAGGGTTAAATATTTACTATATTATATATATACTGAATATTTTATTTACTAGAATAAGAAATTACATTAAACATATGTGTTAGAGGCAATTTAGTCAAATTTTGTGCCTAGAATTACAATTAAAACCTCTTAAAATAACATGTCAGGGTCTCCACACAGTGTTTTGTAAATAATAGTTGATATTATTGTTGTTCAAACCGACTCTCTCCCTCATATTCACAGTGGCCCTACTGCCTCAGAAGATGTTCCTACTGCAACTTTAACAAGTACATTCCCAGGGAGGACAACCACCGTGTAATGACTGAGTGTCTGCAGCGAGAGACTGAGACTCTGCTGAGACTCAGTCAGGTTTCCTGGTATGGATTTCATTTTAATTAAAATGCTAAAATGTTAAACCATTAACTACCCCACATCAAAACTTTGTTTCAATTTGCAGCATCACATCTGTGTTTTTCGGGGGTGGGACTCCAAGCTTGGCCCCCCCTTCCTCCATCGCTGCAGTCCTGGAAAGTGTTTCCAGGCAGGTGACTCTGCCAGACCAGGCCGAGGTTTCACTCGAGGTCAATCCTACTCCTGCGGGAATGTCAAAGCTGGAGGACTACTGCCAAGCCGGTGTCAACCGTTTCTCCATAGGTGTTCAGGTAAATAATTCCTAGGAATAAAATGAAAACTGATTATAATTTCACTGTATTTTCACACTTTCCGATCCAGTCTATGCAGGATGCTGATCTGGAAGTCCTGGGGAGGGACCACAGCTCATGTCAGGCTTTACAGACCATTGAAGAAGCCCAGAGGTTGTGTCCAGGAAGGGTGTCAGTAGATGTGATGTTTGGTCGACCCGGACAGAGTGTTAAATCCTGGGAGGAGGAGTTGTCTGAGCTGCTGAAGGTGTGTGATGACCATGTGTCACTGTACCAGCTGACCCTGGAGAGAGGCACGCAGCTCTTCAAAAAGGTGCAGAGAGGTGATCTGACTGTGCCGACTGAAGACCAGACGGCACAGATGTACCAGTCTGCTAGGAGGTTTCTGCAGCAGAGGGGCTTCGAGCAGTATGAAGTGTCCAACTTTGCCAGAAATGTAAGTACTCTATTATACCTGATTAATTTAAATTAATTAAAGAGTCTTTTGACTTTGACTTTGTAGTTTTATATGTTATTATATTGAATTTTAAATCATTTTGAGCAACAACAAAAAAAAAGATGGAGAATAAACTTGCTGCTGTGATCATAAGTAAGCACATTCAAATGTAGTTATTTTCAAAATGTAGTTTTATTATTATTATTATTATTATTATTATTATTATTATTATTATAAATGCACATTGTCATTGTCTTATGTTTCTGGCAATTTCCTAACCTCATGATTCCTAAAAGTAACCTTCCAAACAAACCAATGTGCTTTACAGAACGCAGCGAGCCTCCACAATCTGAGCTACTGGAAGGGAAGACAGTACATAGGCGTAGGTCCAGGTAAAGAACTGACTGATTTTTAATTAGATCAGAGTGAAAACACCAGTTTCTGGACTTTTCTACTGTTGTTACAGGTGCACATGGGCGGTTTGTGCCCTTGGGCGGGGGAGGTGTTGGCCGCGAGGCGCGGACGCAGACGATGGAGCCTGACGTGTGGATACGAGAAGTCCAGCAAAGGGGACATGGGACACGGAGGAGGATGGAGCTCAGCTGTGTTGAAGTGTGAGCTGTAACACTTCCAAACAGTGGTGATGTGATTGTGAATTCAAACCAGACGTGTGATCCTGGTGACAGATCTATCACTTAGTCCCATCAGTGCGTGAACACATTTTGACAAATGTCCTGGTAGAAGTTGCTAAAAGTGAGTTTGTTCTTTTAGACCTTCTGTCCACGTCCACTCACTTTAATCAGCCTCGTCCACTTTGTCACTTTGTCCCTGTCGTTGTCAGAGTCACATTATCAGCTCACTGACATGTTGTTTTGTCCGGCCAGATTGGAGGAGGTGTTGGTGATGGGGATGAGGATGACTGAGGGCATTAGTCACAAGGTGAAGTTGACACAATGGAACACAACAGAGTGGAAAACATTCTGTTCCACTCAGTGTCTGCGTCTTAACTGTTGTTTGATAACGTTTTGTTGTTGTTGTTGTCGTAACAGCACTGGGAATTGTTCAGTCCTCAGCTGAGCCTCCGTGATGTCTTTGGAACGTCCACTCGTGTCCGAGAGCTGCTGCAGAATGGACAGCTGATCCTGGATGACAGGTCACTGGTATTTATAAGGAATGACTCACTGAAAGAGCGTCCAGTTTAATAGTGTGTTTTTAAAGTTTTCACTCACAGAAAAATAGTGTGACTAACAGGGCTGTCAAATAGTTAAAATCACCGGATGGCTATGATCAGTAAATACTTGTTCTCTTCACTGGGTATTTTTTCTTTTTTCTTTTCCTTCAGGGGTCTCCGCTGCTCCTGGGAGGGTCTGGCCTTATTGGACAGCGTTCTACCAGCTTTACTGGTGGAACTAGAAACCAAAGTTCTTCAGAAATGTGAGCGACACCTCAGAGCTGATGAACATGATTCTGGAGCAGCTAACCTTTAAAGCTGAAATGGCTAAGTCTGCAGTAACACTGTATGAAGCACTGCCACGCTAATAACAAGCTAGCTTTTCTAAAGCCTGTGTGTTTTTGTCATTATTTATTTATTTGTATGTTGTTTATGACTTTGAACAGCACAACACTTGACCAGACTCTTTCAAGTTTTCACAATTTCTTACATTAAAATAATCATTTTTTAATATTTCTAATCCTTATAGTCAAACTTAATCCCACAGTTTCCTCCTATGACTTGTTTTTTTTGTTTGTTGATGGCTCAGCCAGACTGGAAAGATTTTCCCCCAGAGCTTCAGCTGCTTTGATGCAAAAAGAATTACTCAAACCAAATAAATAAAAAACTGTCTCGCCATAATTGACTATTCTGTCGTGCATCTCATCTGCAACGTACTGTTTACCCTTTCACCAGTCGTTTTGTAATTTGTAATGCTACCCAGGTCTGCTGCTACGCTACTGCACTGTAATGACTCATCAGAATTAATGTCCTTCTCAAAATAGAAACTCCTTTTGTTTCTCTGTTTAATTCAACATTTCAAAAATAATTCAGTCGGTGAATTCTTTGTTACTCATTCTGGCATTCTGTTTTTTTTTAAGCTTTCCTACTCTAAATATTTATGGTGTGTCAGTGAAACTATTTATAGTAGTAATAGTCTCACATTTCAAAATACTGTATATGCGTCCTTGGTGTTTTGGGATGAGTTTAATGTTTCGTTGTCATTTTGTGTAAGAAGAAAAAAGATAATATCCTCAGCCTTTACTGTATGACTTATTCAAATTAAAGTAAGTTTTTATGAGTGGACATAATGGACCTGAAAAACAAATCTCACTCATATGTGAATTTGTGTCACTCGTTAGAGAGAGCGGTGGTCTCTATCCATGGTGCTGATTTCTCAGATCTCTCTATCACCTCGTCTATCTCACCCACCTCCTCACTTTATGCTAATTATCTGTTGTAAATACCATGTCGCCTGTGGTCAGCCATTGTCACAGCAAAGCCTCCACTTTCATGAACGAAATCGTGGGCGTCCGGAAGTGTCAACAGTCTCTCGGATGTTAGGAGACGTTCAAGGTTTGTGTTTGAGTCATCGCTCTCCCACATACGTAGGTTTTGCATCATTATTAGAACCTCCCCGCCCCGCCACTCCTCAAAGACACTTGTTGCCATCGCCTGATGAGTAACAGTGAAGAGACAGTGACTCATTGGATTCAATCAACCAACATATGACAATTAGAAACTGTTTTATTATAATTCATTACAGTCAACATAGTTCTGTACACAGATGGATGCACTGGTCCGGCCAAGTGCTGCAGAGTATAACTCCATACATGATAAGACATTGCAGCATACTACTACAATTGGTTTGCACGAGAAGTCACACGATTCATTGAATCTGACACTTCTCTGGTTTACTGTGTTTGGTGCTTGATCCAAGCACCATCCGCAGGTCGCTGGTGAAACTCGGCCGCCGCGCTGTGGGATCCACAGCCGCGCAAGGCACACCGGTTACCCGCGTCCTGCTCCCCTTCCTCCCTCTCTGGCCGACGCACATCGACTGGTAGGTGAGGAAGGACACGATCTGATGCCGGTTCGGACTCGCCTCATCCGGAAGTTCTCCGAGGGAAGCAAGAGCTCTGAACATACCGTCCAGACCTGAGCCGTCTTTAGCGGACGTTTCGAAGAAGCAGACGTCATCACCGAGAGTTTCTATCACTGTGGACCGGCTCACGGTTCTCTGAGCTGCCAAGTCGGACTTGTTACCGCACACGACCACCGGTGTTCTCACCGGATGTTTTAATTTGAGTAACTTTGTCTTGGCAGATTTGATCTCCTTCAAAAGCTCACATATTTGACTGAAGGAATCACTGTTGTCCAGACTGAAGACAAGCAGAAATAAGTCACCTGGAGGGAAAAAAGAAGAAGAAGAGAGGATGAATGATTTTACTGATTTTAAAATCAAATGCAGCGATTCTTAAACTCATCACTGTCTCACCTGTCAGAATGGACAACCGCCGCTTGGCCGGGAAGTCCCTCTCACTGGAGGCGTCCAGAACGTCCAGCTCGTATGACTCTCCTCCGATGTGGAACAGCTTTCTGTAAAAGTCCTCAGACGTCGGTTGATACCTCTCCTCAAATTCCTGATCCAGGAACCGATGGAGGATGTTGGTTTTACCAACGTTTGGTCCTCCGAGCACCACCAGTCTGCAACAGTTCCTGGGCTTGGTCAGTCCCATCTCCAGCAGATCCATGGACCTCTTGGGAAGTCGATGGGTTGACCTGTGTTGTCTCCCAGAACTGGAGGATCTTCTTTCAGAAATGGTCTTCTCTTGTTGTCTCCAGCAGCCTTTAACAGTCTCAATAATGCCCATGCCAGTCTTGGAGGGCGTTGAGACTTCAGGGTGTTGCACAGACAGATGTGGGTTTGTGACGTGTGATTGCTGATGCCAAGTGAAGGAGCTGAACATTTCGAAAATGCCATCAACTGAAAGATGAAGCTTTTCAGTTGTGTTCATCTCTTTGTTCTCTCCAGCATCTCTGTTCACCGAGTCTTCTGCAATCTGACCACTCCGGGAACCTTGTACATGTGTTCTGCTGAAACTGAGAAAAGTGTCTGCCTTTTATACACCCCGGCAGGCACAGGAGAGTCTGCGTCACTGCCTGTCATCCAGACCTCAGTCCTTTTATAGAAACACAAAGGATCCGTCTCTCTCCCCCTCTCCGTGTGTCTGGAACGCTCTTCACACTGAGAGGTGCTGTAATCTTCCTCAGAGAAAACTGAATTTTCTCTAATGTGATACTGTTTTCCACATGAAACTTAAATGGTAAAAAGGATTTACAAAAATGTTGTTTTCTGTATGGGATGATTTCTGTGTGAATGGTGGATGATGGGACAACCTGGGAGGTTTAGGGACATGACTACAAACAGTTTGTTCCAAACCCAGTCCCTCTGGGGAGGAGACGAGTCCCCCGGCCCCCTGAGCTCCACCTGACCTCTCTGTGATCCATTCATACCTACAGAAACAGTTCAGTCTATTTTTAACACCTCGTGCAGGTGTGCTGTCACCTCATTATGGCTAAGTGCAGGAATAAGCTAGTGGACAGAGTGTCCAAATAATTGCCTTAAATCGCTGTAGTCATGGATACCGCTCGTAGATGAAATTAATGCATTTTGGTCATGTGACAGTGGCTGTTTGGGGGTTCCTTTCCTTCCTGCCAGTTCCAGTTTTTTCTATGGTTTTCAGGTGTATTTGTGTACGTGCTCAACCCTCACAGTGCAAACTCATTAGAAAAAAATCATTAAAAAATACACCTGCAGGCTCCGACATTTACTCTCCACTCGGGAGTTCGTAAAGGAGTGAGTCAGAGGTGAACACGGCTCACCAGTTTCTGGCGTTATCACGACTGTTTGCAGTACGTGGTTATTACGTGTGATTCACAGATCCCGATAATGAGTCTTCGACAACAGCCCAAACATACAGCATCCACGTCTCACATATTAGTATGAGGACGCTTCAAAGGAGCACACTTTAAAGGACATTGCATGCAGAATGTGAATGAGTTCTGAAACAATCCCTCCAGAGCAGGAACAAGAGCATACCACACAGCTGCCTCAGCATCCTTCACACAAGCCAAGGGCACTCGGAATAAACAGCCCAAATAATAGTGGCTGCTTCTTCATGGAAACCTGAAGAAAGGCCTGGTTACGCAATCAGAGAAAAAAGGAACAGAGTGATCGCAATGGAGAGAGTGCAACGCCTTAGTACTGCAAAAAATTGAGATATTTAAGGAGGGAATTATTTCCTGAGAGATTGAAATTTTGCCTGCCTCAAAGACACCACTGCAAAGTCAACTGTAGTACAAACTGAAAAGAAAAGTCTTTATTTATTGAAGTAGCAAACTCTGTATACTAAATTTGAGTCTGTGAATGATTCTTTGTAGAATTCTTTGTTAAGGACCAAAAAAAGGGCTCTCAAATGTTCTTTCAGTTTTTGAATACATTACATTTTTTATTTATTTTTTAAATGTTTTCTGTAACAATTTTGGTTAAAAATGTTCATTTGTTGTTGTTGTTGTTTTTGTTGTTGTTGAGTTGGTGAAATCCTGATCAACCAAAAGGAAGCACAGCTCAACTCCTTGCGAAGATGTAGTCATTAAATCACACACATTGGAATCAGACCAATGTAAAATATCATATATCTCAAAACTTTTTGACTTACCCTTATATTTAAATAAATAAATAAATACACACTATAATTGTACTAAAAAAACAAACCTACTGCATTCAGCTCATACCTTATCTGACCTGTGGTGGTCTGCAGTGAAGGGCAACACATTTATTAGAACAAGGAGAAACGTAGCACTCGTGTCTCTGCGAGGAGATGTTGGTGCTGCATGGTTTAAAATAGCAACACAGTGTGGAACAATACTGGTGCAGAACTGTTGCACTGTGTTTCTGCTCCCAGCTCACAACACACTCCACTTTACAGCTCTGTTTCTGCAGCGTCAGCTTAGAACGTGGTTCAAAGAAGTGATTTTTAAAGACTTCATGAAAAATTAATCGTGTGATTAATCAAATTATTTTGATTGACAGCCCTGGTAGTAACATCTTTTCAATCACAAAATTAATTTTTGAATGAAAGTTCAAATACATGTTTAAATGAATTATAATTAATATTTTTCCTTGAGTTGGTAAAGTCTTAAAGAGATTTTTTTTTTGAAAATCTAATTTGGATAATAGGCTGTTAAAATGGGACATTTTTAGTTTAACAAATCACTGGAAACCTGTTCAGTCCAGTTCAGTCCTGTCTGTTGGTGGTCAGATTACATCATGTTCTGCCTGTGTCCTGGAGGATCCAGTTTTTGTTTCGTCTGCTGGTCCATTACTCTGGCTGTGAGGAGGATCTCTGAACATCGTCATCACACTTGTGTTTTTTCACCTTCCAGATGCTCTTGAATATCATGAATCCTTACCGACTTTTTAAACCTATTTCGGTGATGCCTTCAATGTCAATCACTTATTTCACGTGAGTAATCACTCAGTTGGACAGTGTCTGGTAATTCTATTTTTATAACATATATTTATGGAAACTAGAGCATTTCCAAATACAGCAGCATCATCATCTCTTCTTGAAACCCCTCCCTCCCCGACCCCCACATCTCCATGAGACATCACCAAGTCACCGGTTTAAATCCAGAGGCACTTCTCGTCACCTTCTCCAGGAAAAGAACAATCAATCGATAGGAAATGAAGCATCACAGTGATGACAGAAAACACCACGGGTAGAGCTGATGTAGTACCAGTAGATGGCAGCAACGATGAGTTGACGCCAAACCGGAATGACGTTTGGCCTTTTTTTCTTTTTTCTTTTTTTTGAAGCCCAAGACTTGATTCCTGCTCTGACTTTACACATAATGCTTTACACAAACATGTACATGTCACAAAACAAAACTTTACAGAAGGACGTCACTGCTGTGCAGGATTGTGTGTTGTTTTATACACCGGGCCTGGCCTCTCACCTCCCCCCTCTGCGTTCCCATACTTGCTTCTCTGTGCTCTGACCTCGACGGGCCTTTGTTAGGAAACAAAAGGAGTTCAGGCATCTGTTTTCAGGAGAAATAAAGACACAGGGTGGCAGAACAGAGAGGAGAGGAAGGAGGAGGCAGGCTGGAAGTGGTGAACGAGGCGTCATGTTGAATTAAAGCACTCTTGAAAAGTACTGTACAGCCAGTCTTCCTGTTCTAAATCCTGTTAGTGAGAGTTAATCGGTTATATTCAAAAGTACAACTCACTGTTCCCCTATATTGTTCCCCTGTGCTCTGTAAACTGTAGATTCCAGTGCACTTCAGGCCTTTGTTGTCTCTGTCAGTCCTGGCCTTTGTTCTGTCAAGGTGGAGCTGGTATTTCCTGCAGATCCTGCTTAGTCCACCCAGGCACCTTTCTCCGTCTCAGTTGGGTAATGACTTTTCACTCAGCATTTTCTGATATCATCCCTCTGCACTTTTGAGCACAACTTTCTACTGTTAAAAAAACAGTAGGCAATATTTTGGACAGGGAACTGGATTTCAGTGGTAATGCACGAGGATTCAGCGTTCAGACAGCGAGCCATTAGAGCTGATTAATAAGTAAAGAGCAGCTGATGAGGAGGAGGAGGAGGAGGAAGAGGAAATGAAGCTCTTTGGAAAGTCCCGTAGGGTTTGAATGGTTCACTCAGTCTGCTGTAAAAATGCCACAGCGTGGCTTTTACTATGCATCTCCGTAGGAAGGTGTCTGCTGTAGTTTATGGTGTTTATTTTTATCTCCTTGGGTCAAATCTGCACAGTCACTACATTCGCCTGGTGGCTGTGTGGAGGTATTGCAGCCCGTCAGCTGCAGTGACTTCACTGGGATTTTTATGACACTATGATAAAAATGTGTTTTGAACGTTATTTGGTTTCTGTTTTAGGATCACCTGCACACGAGCTTCCACGTTAGGAAGGGAAAGGGTTAAGTCTGACTCTGCATGCGCTGCACAAACCTCCCTCCTCTCCTCTCCTCCCCTTTCCTCCCTCCCTCCATTCCTCCATACCTCCCTCCCTTTTCCTGTGCTCTTTCTCCTCTCCATCCATTTTACCCTGTGTGTGTATGAGAGAGTTTTAGGGGCGGGGGGCTGTGCCATCTGCAAGCCCAGCTCCTGGTTTAGAGAGCTACACACACACACACACACACTCTCTCTCTCTCTCTCTCTCTCTCTCTCTCACACACACACACACACACACACACACAGACGCTCATAACTTATTTTTATAACAAATCAGCCGCGCATTGTCTTAGTTTTGGGTTCATTTTGAACACGGATACTGTTCGGTTCTCCACGCCTCAGCTCCGGGACAGATCGAGGGCAGACGGTTCTCCTTTTTCACCAAGTTGGAATCAAACTGACGCGCTATGGCATGAAGGTAAGAGGCGCAAAAGGTCGTTACTTACGGTAGAGTCTAACCGTGTTGCAACTTTCAACTTTTACAAACTCGGAAACGTAGCTGAGTCACTGTCGCACACACTCTCACATACCCACACACACTTTTACACACACTTCACCCGATCATCCCATTTGACGCAGCGCGCACAGCCACGGGCCCAGTCATCCTGCCGTGGCACAGTCAGGACATGTCAGCGAAAGAAAAAGACAGAATTCAGCGTTGGTTCTTCAAATATCTTTCATGTTCTCCAGTGAACATAGTTGACCGGGACTGTAGGCCTGTTCACTGACCTGCTTTTACTTTACTTTGTATGTGAACAGAGAGTGAAACACTGGAACTAAAACTTTACAGATACTGCCTAGAATATTTATTATTAGCCCTCCATAATAAAACAAAAGTATTTTAAAGTACTCTGGAAGTTTTCTGAATTATAAGACAATGTTTATAAACATTGCTACCTTCGTTTAGGAAATTACGTACAAACATTCTTTGGCGTTTCAATAAAAAAAAATCACAAACCAAAAGAAATACCATGGTCAAAAGAATGTGCTCTATTTATTGATACAAATCACAGGCTATTGCTGTCAGTGTGATAATATGATAATACTCCAAACCAGAGGTCCTCAAAAGGCGGGGCACAACCTCAAGAAGGACAGCATAGGTGCTGCAGGGAGGTCATGAAATCTTTACCTTACCTTACCTAACGTCTACACATTTAATTTGTTTTTAAATGCACATTTTTATATGAATTCACCTTTTGTAGCCAATGTATAAACGGCGACAGACGATGGAACACTTGTCAGGAATACACACATTAGTATTTTTCTGTGTAACCATATTTATGTATAACATGTGTATAGTATGGTCAGAGGTTCCTGCTCCATCTCTCAGTCAGTTTTGGGGACGTTCCTTGTTTCAGGTTCGAGTAAACGTATAGGAAAAGTCAATTGCAAAAATTAACTTTTTTTAATACGATGATGTGGAAATTATTATTATAATAATCATTTCACAGTTGAAGTGAACTCCATGTCATGATGAAGAGTCACCTCCAAGACTATGCTGAGGTCTGCTAACGACAAGCTAATGACAAGATGATGACAAGCAGTGGGGAGATATATACATACTGGAAGCTAGTCCCCGTGGTCAGATTAGTATTGACAGGAAAGAAGAAGTGACTAATGCTTTCATGAGCGTACACTTAGCTGGAGGATGGCTGTAACCTTTAATAATCTAGTGATGATTCAATCTTTATATTGACATCAGCACGGCTCTTGTCGGAGGAGGCGGCCATGTTGGATTTCCTGTGTTTATATTATCGTTCTATAGATAGAATAATGTCCACTATTTGTTACTGTTATCAGTAAATCCTACACCACGTTCCTTTTCTTGAGTTTAGAACCTCATGTGAGGGTGTAAGACAAAAAAATAATTTGTGCAATCTTTAGAAAACTGCCAAACCTCATCTGGCACGAAAACAACCGGAGGCATACTCGACACCAAACCACTAGCAAACTAAACAACTGTCTTTATTAGTCATTATTAATACTATGGTTTCATAAAAAATAAAGATCCGGTTCCATGTAAGAAATGCATCAGTCTGGAGGAACAATTTCCCTAGTGTGCGATCAATAGTTTAATCTAATCTAGGCTTAGCAAATACTCATTTAGATCAAGTTAATGTCTGTGTGAGTGTGAATTCATGTCAATTATTAAAGTTCCCGCTCAAAATGCGTTTTTGTCCATGAAAACGTTTTTGTCCATGAAAACGAACCAGAGTTCAGAAGGTAGCAGGGTGGAATGGGAGTGAATGGACAGAGGTGAACTTTAAACATGTGGTCATCTCCAGCTGCACATGTTTGACTCTCACTTCTCCCTGATCCATTTACAGCCCTGCTGCTGCACAAGAAGTTTCTCACACATTAACCACAGTCGGTTTCTATACAGCACACTTCCTGCAATTTTTTTCAAGTTTACTTTCTCAATTACAATACACATTTTTCATGTTTTAAATGTTTCTGCTAATGTGTCAAATATGATACTAACCTCAGTATTTATTGCTTCTTCTCAACCCAATAATCTGTTGTAGATGTCAGAAACATTACTCAGGTGGGGACAGGCTGGGTCGGTTAATCTGACTCATTCCCATGACAACATGGGACAAAGGTCATTGTCTAATGTAAACCTGTACTGTAGGGTTTGTCTTGCTGTAGTAGTGCACAGCAGAGCTCACAGGAAGTAGTTTTAAGCAAAGTGAGGACAAAAACAAAAGTTCCTGATATCCCAGTGGACAACTCTGTTGGTGTTTGGGTTGTTTAGTTACAGCTTTGTCAGTCTTCCAGTCCTGCTGCTGCTGCTGCGATGATGTAATGTGGTCAGAAAAACAGAAGAGGTGGAGCCCCGCCCATCTCTCTCTGTGTTAACACTGTGCAGTAAAGAACACACAAAAATCTATGCTGGCAGGTTGGGCTCTGAACAAATATTTGCACTTACAGGTAAGTTAGAGTAGTGTTTTTGAATACAGCGAGTGCAGTGACATGCTGGGTATTTTGTATTTTAGAGGTATAGATCAACTGCCAACAAAAATATCTCTTGAAGTCGTCAGAAAAACTAAAAATTAAACCAAATAGAGTGGTTAATTAATAGATTACCAAAAATACTGAGCAGCTATTGAGCATATAATATTTTTAAAACTACTTTGCTGCTTAAAATGTATTTAAAAAATTAAAAAAAACTTTTAAGAGGAAAGAGGAAAAAATGAAGATATTATATCATTTAAACAATTTGCATTTTTGTATCAAACAAAAAATAATGAATTGGTAACATAATTGTGTGGCTAATAGATCACTGAATACCACTGAGCAACAAAACATTACCAATATGAATGGAATTATTGGATCCCTGCAGGTGGATTAGAGGTATTGCTGTTGGTTTTAAACTTTGTTGAAGTGGAAATTTTAATGAAATAATGTGTCGACTTGTCAGCCGCCCTCTCTGGTCAATATTATTAAAACAGAACTTGATGGGCACATGTTTTTACATACTGTACTAGTATGAGTAGTTGAACTAATATGTCAAATCAGTACATAGACTTCTACTATAGGTGTAACAAAGAAAAGAGACTAATTTTCAGCAGCTGTGTTGGTTCAGATCCTTATGTTCTTCTCATCTGTGTGTTCTTATTCAACAGGAAATCTCCCGTTGGCGTGACCGAAGTTATTCGAGGGAGGAAGACTTCAACGAGTAACCACCCCGCTTCCCCTTTCCCTTAGGTGACACGGCGGGCTGGCCTGCTGATAAACTTTTTACCTCCTACCTGTAAAACACAGCGCTGCCATCATGCAGACCTCGTCATTGCGTCGGCAGATGAAAAACATGGTCAACAACTACACGGAGGCTGAGATCAAGGTCCGGGAGGCTACCTCCAATGACCACTGGGGGCCGCCCAGCTCTCTCATGTCTGAAATTGCAGACCTCACCTTCAATGTTGTAGCTTTCACCGAGGTCATGGGTATGATCTGGAAACGACTGAATGACCACGGGAAGAACTGGCGCCACGTTTATAAGGCTCTGACCCTCCTAGACTACCTGATCAAAACAGGCTCAGAACGTGTGGTCCAGGAATGTCGGGAGAACATACACTCCATTCAGACACTCAGAGACTTCCAGTACATCGACAGGGATGGGCGTGACCAGGGTATCAACGTCCGGGAGAAGTCCAAGCAGCTGGTGATTCTGCTGAGAGATGAAGAGAAGCTGAAGAAGGAAAGGAGCCAGGCCATAAAGACCAAAACCCGGATGTCAGGGGTTAGCAGTAGTGTGGGCTCACGATCCACGCCTCCTCCGTACCCGGGACGCCGGGGCTCAGCAGGAGTGCATGGAGATGATGTCAGAAGGTGCAGGGATTCGCCCTCCTCCCACCACAGTGAGTAGAATCAACTTTTACTCACCCTGACTCCACACACTTCTACACCGGTGCTAGTGTAGCTCCCAGGAATTTATTCCACAGGTCTTGGGTCTTGTCTAGTCCTGCAGAAGGTCTCCAGGCTCAGTCTGGGAGTTTAATGCAAGGTTATTAGAATATTTTACTACTTCCTCATATGAAGTGCACCTTGATTTTGCAGATTCAGGAGTAAGAGTGTACCACATTATAAGACCCAGTCTTAGTTACGGTGACATTTTAATATTTGTGAGCCGTTGGTTGAATGTGCTTGTACAGCAATATTGCTATGAGAAATTTTTAACATGTAATAACTACATAATATGCAGAATAAACAATAGTCAAGCTATTTGAATGTTTAACACTCCGCTGGTCCTGACCTTCCACTCAGCTCCTAGCTTCGTCTTCCTGGCTTTCACTGCAGCTCAGTGTTTTTTTTATATACAAATCCACCTACAAATGCTCTGGTCAGTGGCAAATAAAAGGGCAAAAAGGAGAAAATACAGACAGAGGGCAGCATTCCTGAAGATAAAGAAGCTGTTGAAGATATCAGTCAAAATAGAATTGTTTCATTTTTGTTTTGTTTGTCCTGAGGCTTGATCTGTTAAGAACTTCTTATCTCATCAATATCCATTTTTTCATGTCATGTGACCTGACACATACCAGGACTGCGCACATGACTGTTTTTGGTCAGGTGAAAAATAGATATATTGATTTACATACTGTTTCAGGTGATAACAGTGTAAATCAACCGGTCAGGTCCAAATTATTGTTAATATTTCCCATTGAAGACACGACAGACAAATTAAATCACAGTTCTTCTTGAGTAACATCTATTTTTTCACATTAACCACCACCTACGCAGTGATTTTGAAAAAGGCGTGTTTTAACCCAATGTTCTTCTCTCAGATGCAAATGTGCATTCCTTCCATTCTCCTGTGAACAGCTGTCATGTCAGCTAAACTGGATCTACAAAGGACTGGAGGCCCAGTGTCAGTGTCAGTCCAATGTCAAGCCATGTTTACTGGTGGTAATGCATTCTGTTGTTCCACTGCAGTAACTGTGGCTGGGTGGTGGTAAAACAGTAACATACAACCAATTATGTTTTCTTATATTTAAAAATTACATTTTGGCTTTTTAAATTTCCCTGTTTCAGTTGTTTCTCCGTTTGCTTTTACACATTTCTCTGTTGATTTTGTCATCTTCAGTTTAAACTTCTTTTTTCTGTATACTTTGAATAGATGTCTTACATAAATGCCTTAACTTTAGCAGTTGTTTAGTTGTCTTTGCTATTACTTTCTGTTTCCTAAACGCCCTCTAAATTCTTCTACTATTTAAAATGAAAAAAGACACAGAGAAAAGCTGTAAATGTTTCCCTAAAACAGGTATTTGTTATTCACTAAATAGACGTTGTATATATGTCCTTTAAATGTGGTCGTCAGCGTCACAGGAGGAGCTTCTGGACTGCTCCTTTTAGGAGGTGCCGCCCGTTTGTTTTGCCCACATCAGAGCTGTGGCTTCAGAGAGACTTTGGTTTATTTTGTCGTACTGGCTCATGGCTCTGTGGTCTGTGTTATGATGTAAACTCTACAAACCAGAATGCAGTGCCTGGGCAAAATGTGGCCATCTGCAACAAAGCTCTTAATCGTAATTTCAGTGACAATGCAGTACGTGCATCTCCCTGAAATACACAGAAACACTGATGCATTCACAGTAAGCAAAAATTCCGAGCAACAAAGTTCCTTTCTCTGCTGCAAGTGATTTTAAAGTCACAGAGAACAATTACGGTCTGTTGAAGATTCCAGGACACCAGTCCATGGTTGACGCGTTGGCTCTGATAGGGTCTGGGTCAGGAGGTTGGCAGCTACTAATTAATAGCAGGCTCTCCAGCTCAGATGGAGGATATTGAAGGGCAGCAAAGTGGAAATTATTGGTTTACTGTACCATTGTAGCCCCATGAACCACAGGCTGGCCAAGACCCCCCCTCCTCCTCATATCCCCCTTACTATAAAAATCTGGATGTGAATCCTACATGGAGGATTCAGGGTAATAAGGTGGGCCCCGCTCCAAGCCATCATTCCTCTTCCCTTCACCATCTCACACAGGCTCACCATTGTTCTCAGGGGAGGCAGAGTTAGGCAGACGGTGGCAGGCGATGCCAGCGATGGCCTCGAACAACAGACACAAAACGAAAAGAAATGAACATTAAACACCTTTATGTTCATCTTTTATCTTTTCAACTTTTTCGCTTTTTGACTTCAAATGAAAAGCTAAATGAATTTCCTCTATAATTCCCTTCAGCCTCCTCTTCCTCTTCTCGTCTCGCTCCAGAACTGGAGCAAGCTCGACCGGCGACCAGTGGAGAAGAGGAGCTGCAGCTGCAGCTGGCCTTGGTGATAAGCCGAGAAGAAAGTGAAAAGGTAGCTCTAATGGAGATAACACAAACACTGAGCACAAACCTTCTCTTTTATATATATCGCAGTACATTCCCCTGACAGGAAGAAGCTTCTCAGCTGTGCTGTTGGCATGTTATGTTGTGATTCTGCAGTAAAACACACACACACACACACACGGTGGTGATCTGCTCCCACCGCCAATGTATTTTTCCCAGAACCTTTACAGAAACTGATAGCATTAGCTCTGTCGCTCATGTGGTCAGTGATGGCACTTTGACCAATCAGTGTAAGCGATGCTGAAGAGTGAGAAAGACATAAGTGAAATAGTGAGAAGCCAGGCAGGATGTGTGCATTGATCCACTCTGCACTGTTCTCATGGCAAGGACAGCCATTATTTACCCTCTGGGACGGTAGCTCCTCTACCAGTCAACTACAGTTAGAACAATGGAAGGCAGAAGTCTGAAGTGCTACCCCTGTTTTCTGTGCTCGACCAAGAAAATGTCACAAATGGTAATAATGATAAAAAAAAGATTAAATGACAAAGGTGATTGTCAGGAAGTTTTCAGTCAAATCATCCAAAGGATTTTCTTTTAATATTGATCATTTCTTTGCTGTTTTGTCATCTGCTGTGAATTATCTGCTGAGAATGTTTTTGTATTGGCCTCCACTGACCAAAATACAGCTCTAAACCAGTACAGAGCCTCCTCCACACATATTCAGTAGATATGAGTCATTATAATATATGTATATTTATATAAGTAGTAAGTAAGTATAGGTCGTTGATCAGAAACAACAGACAAGTACTATCAGTGTGCAGCCTAGTGGTGTAATATTGCATTGGCTTTCAGAATATTTACTTGTGTGTGTTTAAACTTTCAACACACACTGTTCTAAAAAAGACTACATTTTAAGTAAGTAGTAATCATAAAATGGACTAGTGCCTCATGATTCACAAACGCCGACGTAGAAACACATTCCATTTTTGTGATGAACAAATTAGATGTGATTATGAGATTAAGATGAAGCTCCAAATGGTTTCCCTTCTCTTTGTCACCTGTAATCTCTGTATTCTCTCAAATTTGATTTCACCTTTTCCTTTGATTGACCCTCCTTCTAATCCTCCCCACTTGCCCCAAGCCTCCACCTCCTCCTCCTGTGGACATTGATGAACAGACCCAGCTGCAGATCGCTATGAGTCTCAGCAAAGAGGAGGCCCAGAAGGTATTATTAGTACACTGGTAGAAGGGAGGCTCCTTTCTTTACATCCATTACACTGTAGCTCTGTGCAGTAACACCTGATGGTACTGATCAGACTTTGTGCTTTTGGAAAACACCACTCACTTTCCCTATTCCCTAAGTTTTAACCAACAGCCTCGCTCAGTCACTCACTGTAAACAACCTGTGGACACACACACGGCTTTTCCCAGAGACTAATCAGTCATGGCTCCAACCTTTTGCTTTACTAATCACTAGATCTCTCATCCTGGTCCAGTAACAGGAGATCTCAGCCGCTCTGACTGCCTCTGGTGTGGTGTCACTGGAGGGTAAAGGGTTTCTGGCCCCTTTGCTCTACTTGGGACACTTGTAGAGCTGCATGTTGTACAATGCTGTTACTGTATATAACGGTTATGTCCATCCTTATTAACTGAACTCTGCCCTGGGTTAACACCTTCACAGCCAGTCCAACGTGCGCCTGTTGCTCTGGATATGGATGAAGAAACCCAGCTCCAGTTGGCTCTGAACCTGAGCAAGGAGGAGCACCAGCAGGTAGGTTAGCCTGGGTGTCATCAGGAAGACACTTCACACATGTCTTGTTTTTACTCTAGGGTTGAAAGAGGTACAGCTGCATTTTCTATGAAATTGCTTTATGGAACACAAAACAGAAATGTGGAGAGTAGTACTCCACCACGACCCCCTTTTTTTCTGTCACCACTGCAGCACAATAGAACTGCTCTGTCAGAGCTGCAGTTGACTGGGGAATTTTCTGGTCGGTGCCCATTATAAACCTGTTTGTCTGGCTCTTATCCTCCTATTTGTTGTACTATTTACTTTTACCAAGGAGTCTCAATAAAATCCCTCTTACAATGAAGACCTAATCCTGATAGTAGGAGCAAAAAAACCATCAGCTGAAATATAAAGTGCATCTTATAATAACCGATGTCTACCAATTTTTGACTTGACCTGGTAACCAGAGCAGAGGTGACTGGTGAATTAAAACACGACAGGAAGTAGTCCACAGGTCTATGGGATCATACCACTATATAAGAAATGTTTGGTATGTACAGTATTTGTTTTTGTTTGCAGCTGCTCCTCCCCTGATACGGTAGATAATAATTAAGTAAACGCAATGCACTTTGGTGCAAAAGTACAAATTATATTGTGTTAGTGGCTAGTAAGATGGAATCTAAGCTACAGAGTTCTGGAATCTTTCATGCATTTCTTATACCTTGTTTAACAAAAGAAGTAATTTAAAAATAGCATTTGCTTTCCCTTCAAATATTTTCTTTTCTATGTCTCATTTATAAAATATGAAAACATACAAAGAACTGTTGAACCTCTGGGTCCATAAAGAAATCATAACTAGTAAGTGAGCTGAGTTTGGACATAGAATGAAGCTGATGTCATTTGGCAGCTGCTCCAGGATTACTGTGCAGATATAAAAAATACCAATACAAGCTGGTGTACTTCTGTCATTTCCTCGTAAACCGTATGTGAAAATATGTAAATTCTGCTCAAAATCTGTTCCCAACGGCAACCATGTGACTGTATCTGTTGACAGGAGCAACTCAGTCGCCAAGGAGATGAGTCAATGCTCCTGAAAGCCTTGGAAGAGAGCAAACGCGAGATGCAAGCTAAAGGCGGGGTAGGAAATATTCAGCTGTGGAATATCTGAATGGGTGGTGAGGAAATACAAGCCACACTCTGTTTACAGGCTGTAACTGCCCTTAGGATAAAAAAATAAAATCCATTTTATTTGTTTATAATACGATGATATCGGTTGACATAGTTATGAGGTCAGACTTGGATGTAGCAGCTTTACACTTGGGAGGAAATGGGAAAAGTTCCAGGCCTAGTTTGCACCAACTGGGACTTCATAGCTAGTTGACATGAGTATCATCCTGAAATATATAAACACAAAAATGATTTTTTTTTCTCCTTTGTGTTGCATGTTGACAGACTTCCTTCATGGACCTGGTAGATGTTTTTGCAGTGCCCGCAGAAGTACCCCCTCCAGAGCATCACTGGGGTAATGCTTCACACCAGGCAGTAGGGGGTGTCACACATCCGTGGGACTCAATAGGTGAGTTTGAACTTGGCTTTTTATGTAGGCTTATACATTACATACAATGAAAATTGGTCATGGAATATTCTTAAACAAATTCAAGAATTTGTGTAGTCCATTCAGTTTGAGTTATACAGGAAGTCATTTACAAATATGGACTTGATAAGTGCAAAATTAGCGTAAAACGTCAAAACTGTTAGCCCCCTGATGTTCAAGGTGACTTAAAAACTTCAGGTAGGGTTTCCTTTTCTTCTTTGTATTTTCTTGTGAAAACCCTAACCGTTTGCCTAGCTAAAATCGTGGGCTGCTCTATAACATTAACATTCACAGAGGAGGTAATTTTTCCAAATATTACATTGAAATGCGTTTGTGTTTTTAAATGTACCAGTTCAACAGCCTGAGGTTCATTTCTAAGAACTTCTCATATTCTTCTTTCTTTCTTTTCTCAGTAGCAGTTGCTCTGTATCTTTTGGCTTATATTTAGATTTGACAAAACCATGAGTGTGAAAATACCAAAATGTGTGTTGTACTCTGCTCTGGTTCATATAGATATGTCTGTATGAATCTGAATATACGTGTGTATATATATATATATATACATATATATACAGTATATACATATACTAACTTATATAAAACAACATTTTCTCTTTGTTTTTGATGAAGGTAGCACAAGAGATGACGTCGCATGGATGGCGCCCCCACCCTCCAGGAGCCCTCCACCACCTTGGGAGCCCCCAACTGATCCTTGGGATGGGCCGCCAAACAATGCCCCTGGTGCCTCGGAACACGTGTGGTCTCTGTCAAACACAGGTGATGGGGAGTTTAGGCACACAACTAAAATCCTCTAATATTCAAATATTATATTGTGATTCGTTGTTATTGTAGCCTTTTCGAGAGTCGATCCATTCTTGGATCAATCAGACAGGACAGCACTGCAGGGAGCTGCCAAAGAACATTTTCCTCGAACTGGAAGTCCCTCGGGTAAATCCAGATCCAAAGTTTATTGTCCCACAGTGGTGCTGTGAGTCTGATGAACACTGATCATCAGAGTCTCTGTGATTCTCCTGTTAGATGGGGATTTCTTTGATGAAGCCATGGATGGAGGACAGATGAATGTCAACGGCAGAGGAGAAGGCAGTCCGGAGCTCTTTGACCTATCAGGTCTTGGGGAAAGCCTTGAAGATCCCAGCCCTCGAAAATGTCGAACACCAGAGTCCTTTTTGGGTCCGACAGCTGCGTCCCTGGTGAACCTGGACAGCTTGATCCCACCAAATGCCCAGGCCAAGACCACTAACCCCTTTTTATTAGGTATGGTAATTATTAGGTTGGCTTTTCATATTAACCTATGAAAAATTTCTAGTCACCATGACGACGTCATCATTAAGTCCGGTACAAACACAAATTACACTTTGTCTCTTTAAAGACGTACTAAATGTACATGTCAAATATTTTCAAACTACATTTATATTGTAGGTGTCTGGGGTACAGTACAGTGTGTGTGAATGTAATGAAGAGCATTTTAAGACCAAGAGTTCCTTTCACAGTGGAAATAAACAGCAATGTGGTTCAGGAATCTGAGAAATGCCTTCACCCTCACAGGATTGAGCAAAGTTGGTTAAATAGCAGCCAAACTAAATTTCTAAGAAACCCTCAAAAGAGAGAGACGACTGAAATAAGCAAAAGAGACAGCAAATGGTCTGAAGATTAATGGGCAAAGATTTCAGAGAGTGTCCAGCTTTGGGTTTCCTGACTTTTATCTATCTATCTAATCTATCTTATCTACAGAACCATTTACCTTCTCCAATTTTCTGTAAAGAGGCAACACTTATGCACACAGTACTTTCCTTGATCATGTCTAGTAGCTGGATGTTGTTAAAATTTAAACTGGGTCGACCTCCAAACTATTTATGAGCAGCATGTTCCAAGAGGAAGTCAGAGAATACTGGATAATTCATCCCATGTCCTCCACATTCAGTGCAGGCGCTGCCACCTGGCAGAAGATCCAGATCCAAAATGCAAACTTAACTGTTTTAAAAACAATTTAGTCCCTTCTTATGTCAGCATTCTATAAAGCAGATGTAGCAGTAGACACAAAGCAAGGTGTGCACATGCAGCAAACTGTATACTGCACACAAAGCAATATGTGAAATATTGGCAGTTTATGATGGCCTGTCGTTTATTTTGTTAATATTTTATTATGCTGTTAATTTTGTTTTTGTCTATTTTATTTATGACTTTGACAGATGTCACAATTATTTCAGTTGGATTATTTATTTCTATGGTCAACTGGACATTAAAAATATTTGTATTTTAATGGGTTTCTCTGCATTAGGCCCAAAACACAAACCATAGTAAATATTTACATGTTGTTTGTTTTCTAGGTCCAGGTCTCGGTCCGAGCACAGCTTCAACAACAAACCCATTCCAGACTGAGCAGCCCAAACTAACTCTGAATCAAATGGCCTCCACCTCGGCCACTTTGGCCCCTCTCAACACTTCCCTTCCTTACAGCGCCTCCGTGCCACTGTCCATGAGCCACCAGCCGGCCAGTCTTCCACTGTCACTGACTCACCCCACCCAGCCGGGTCTGGACCTGCCAGTCCACCTCCCTGAACCTTTGCTGCCCTTCTCTTCAGGCATCACTCAAGGATCACAGACTGCACAGGATAATGCCAACCCTTTCTTATGACCTAGTAAACAGGATTCTTTTTTACCAATTAGGTTATGCTTAAAAAACCAATGTTCTATCTTTAACCACCGATCATATCATACGCCAGGGATTTCTATAACCCCCCGGCCCCCATTCTTAATAGTGTTTTATAACATGGTTGATACTGGTTCATAACCAGTATCTTTAATTGATGTAAGATGATTCTCTTCTTCACTGGTGTTCTGTAATGAAATCTGTAACAGGGTAAAGGAAAACCGGAATAAAAGCACAGTTATATGTATCTTCTCTGCACAGCCGTAAACCCCCCCCCCCCCCCCCACCACACACACTTACTGTCACCATC